GAAATGTATTATTAACTTTAAATAAGACATTTATGACAAGTTTTTAAATTTTTAGAGTGTACTTAAAATACAAATTTTAATCCATAAAAACAAATTTTAGTTCGGGCGGGTTTTATAAATTCTTTAATAATAATACGAGGTGTGTTCAGAAAATATCGGGAATTTTCGTTTTTTGAAACAAATATTTATTTATTCGTCTACAATAACGTTGTCGCCTTTAAAATAGTCCCCATTAGATATTATGCACATATCTCTTCTTCCAATACTCGAGTTTAGTTCTTTCAGCGATGCCCTTTTAATGTCATCTATGCTTGCAAAACGACGGCCCTTCAAGGTTCTCTTTATTTTTGGGAATAGGAAAAAGTCAGACAGAGGCATGTCTGGCGAATATGGAGGCTGGGGCATCATTACAGTATTGTTTTTGGCCAAAAATATTGTTCAAAATTTAACAATTTTAGAACAAATTTTGCTGCCACGAGTTTCATACCCAAAACATTCGAAAAAATTTCATAGGATGAGCCAATCGATAAACCAACATCATCAGCGACTTCTCTGATGGTTTATAACCATTTCTTCCACTTTTTCCATGTTTTTATCGGTTGTTAATGCGCTTGTGCGTTCGGGGCGTTCGTCATCTTCAAAGTCTTCACGCCCATCTTGGAAACTCTTATAACACTTGTAAACTCTTGTTTTACTTATAGCAGACTTACTATAGGCCTTTGTTAACATTTCACAGAATTTATTTCATTTTTTAAGCAAAATTGGATACAAATTCTTTGATCCATTTCTTTTAACGAACGAAAAATCGCCGAGCTCATAAAACACGTCTAACCTTAGCGGCTGCCACAGACAAAGTAAACAATGAAAACAGCTAAAGTTTGTATCATACTTCGGGGGCATATATACCAACATAATAAGGAAAATTTTATGACAACCGGACCCTCCGAACCCGCGAAATTTAACAATTCCCGTTATTTTCTTAACACACCTCGTACATACGATGAAATGGCGGATAAATTTACTTTTTTGAGATTTTGTTGTCTCACCAAAAACAAGGTTTTATTTTGAACACTATGAAATTATTAAATCATCATTTGAAAACATATTTTAAACAATCTAGCAATAAACCAATAATTTGGATTCAAAATTATAAATTTTGTACCACTATTAAATTAATAATAAACAATTGAAAACACATTTTAAATAATTTAGCAATAAACCAATAAGGCCAATAATTTAGATTCGAAATTATCTATTTTGTATTAGATCAATTATATTAAATGGTTTAACCAGTCAAAGTGAAGCAATTTACGAACATGATATAAATCGGTTTCAAATCAGTTTTAAATCCATTTGACTAATAATGCTAGCATTATTTTAATATAAAATCGGTAACTTTAAATAATAGTATGTGTATCAGGTGTGATAAACGCCATTTTAGTAACGAGATTTAATTAGGCACGCGTGTTTAATAAAATAAGTGTCTAGAAAAGTTTATAAACGAGTGGCATACCTACTATACTTTTTCTACGACAAATATTATAAAAAATAATGTATTACCAAATAATTTAAATTTTTGTATAGAGCGACATCTACATATATAAAAACAGAGTAAGCAAATTGATGTTAGGTATCTGTTTTATCGGCTTAAAAAATGGCAGTGTTAGTTATGTTTAATTTGACTGTAAAAATCAATTTTTTTTAACAACCGTTTAATTTCGATATATAAGTAGTTTTTTACAGTAAAAATGAAGAGTTTGTTTTTTGGGTACTCCCCCAAAAATTTGTAATGCTTTATCGGCAAGTACTAGTTTACTGTCGTGGAAATCAAAAGTGCTTATAAACTTTTTAACTATTGTCGTTCATGAAATTATTTAATAATTTTGTATTGAAATTATAATATAATATCCACATTTAGTATTATTTCACAAAATGATAATGGGGGTTTTAAAGGTGGGAGTAAAAAAACTGTATAATATGATTTAAATTAAACTCAACAATTTCAAAAGGTTTTAGTAGCACGAAAAGGGTTTTAAAATAAATATTGTATTTAATAAATATAATATAATTGTAGCCATATTTTTGTAGGTACGTGTAACATTTTATTCATCAAATCTAACTTGAATAAAACAGAATTTAAATTCATTGCATATTCCTGTGATACATTTAAACACACGAATGGCTTTCAAAACTCACAATGTCTATTGAATTTGTCATTCAAAAGGGAGTTTTATTGTGTACTAAACAAATCTGCATTTACAATACAAAAAAACTATTAAAACAAAACTTAAGGTCATAAAAATCGTTGCCAAATGTTAAAAAGCTTGTAAAACTATAGCCATGAGTTACTACTGTAGGGGCCGGATTATAAGCTAACATTTAGTTTATTTAATGTAATACCTGGTAGCACATTTCTTTTTCAAAAAAATTATTTATATTAGCTAAAAACTTGAATGAAAAATTGTTAGAAATGAGATATGCCCTTATGTGATAATTGGGATAATATAGGTGTAATTTATTGTTTACAGTTTTCTTAATTTTCTTCATTTTTAGTATTTTACTAGTGGAATAATATTTTCATTATTTAACTATTGTAACAATAGCTTACTTTGTGCATTATTTTCAAGCGTAAGTTTGGGAGAAAACAAACCTTTGTCCAGTTTTTCAACAGTACCTTGTTTAGGACTTTTTAAAAAATTGTTTTTATTTTATATAAGCATTTTAGTACAGATTTCTATTGGAACTTTTTTTGCAGTTTTATTTCATATACAGTAACTGGCAAAAGTATGGAACAAATTCATTAAAAATTTGTATAGGTATGTATATTTGTAACTATTTAATTTAATATGAAAATTATTAATAAGTTAACTGTTAACGGAACATGAAAATATATTGTAAAAAAATAATTTATAAAAAAACAGTTAAAGTATCCCTAATGAAAGTATTGCAAAATGTATTAACTTTAGTCACCGTTTGTGCAAACGGTCATTACACAGTAAAAAACAACACCAAAAATGGTCTATACAGGTCCACACTAGAAATGGTAACCACATACAATTTGGTAAATTTTACCCTTTTTAATTTAAATCATCAAATATAATACACTCTTAGGGGTAAAAGCAACACGCAATATTGGTAAAAGAACTCCATTCAAAAGTAGAAAATGCTCAATTTGGTGTAATTTACTACATAGGTAGGTGTTACGTGTAGGTGTTTAAATATTAAACACAGCATGTAATGTAAAATAAAGTATATTTTATATTACTTACAAACTATTGAATATGAATACAAATAGGATTTGGCATAAAATTAAAAAAAAAATGATTAACACTATACTAACACCTAAGTATTCTTATACTCAAGAAGTGTTAATAATTTTTTTTAATTGAATGAAAAGTAGTTATATTTTAAGTTTTTTCCAGTTTGTGCCAAAACATATTAAGCTTATATAGGTAGGGTTGGGAAAATTTCACTTTTTGCTTGTACTTAAAATTTCACTTGAAATTTTCATGACATTTATGAAATTCATTAAAATTTCCTAAATTTCTGAAATTTCGTGAAATTTATGAAATTTTTTGAAACTTAACAATAAATTTCAATTACTTTAAGTGTAATATATTAATATTGAAATAAGCCCACTCGGGGACCATGGCAAATTGCCTCTCTTACCTCCTACCCCTCTGTGGGCCCCTGCACCAATAATATAAATAGTAAATACCTATGTTTACCACAAATTTCTTGAGATTTTCTTTTAAAATATTTTTAAAATTACTAAAACTAAAAGAGATATAGCACTTTTTGGTAAGCTAATAAGATTGTGCCACTTTCATTGTTTTATATTTATATATATATATATTTATTATTTTTATATATTTTACTGAAATTTTACGAAAATTGAAGAAACTTCATCAAAATTTTATGAGCCAAAGGCATTTTTTATCCGTTTTCCGATGCAATTTTAGCAAAAGTAAAAGTTTAAATTAATCATGACTTTTAAAAATATTTTAAAGTCTGATTTAATTTACAAATTAAATTGGTAACTGAATTAAATTATTTAAATTAATTTATGCATATAAGTAACAATAATAACTTATAGTGTATTCAAATCCAAGCCGAACTAAACAATATATAACGCCCAGACGCTTGATAACTCGTTCTTATTGGTCGATTCGGAATCTGTTGTAAATTATTATTAAAGGTCCCAGGGGAGGCCGCATGTGAAATTTATGCGAAATTTTCAGTAAATTGCTAAACTTTCAATGACATTTCTGAAACTTTCACAGGCAATGTTGAAATTTTCGGATTGAAAATTTCATCTGAAATTTTTAAAAATTTCACTTTTCCAACTAAATGAAATATTTCAAGTTAAAATTTTCATTTGAAAATTTCAACTGTTGAGAGTCTCAACCCTATATATAGGTATATGTTAAATATGATTTTTCACTAGCTTAAAAAACTTAAATTTCATATTTCACTAAAAAATCACAGGTAAAAAAAACATGTTATATCACAAACATAAGTTGCATCCACTGTCACATTGCACCACTTCACCAAACCACTGATTTTAATTTAAAAACCATGGTCTTAAAACAGCATGCATAGGTACACTACCATCAAGTGCACTCGGAATACTGATCGCGCCCTTGCCGTTAGCGAATGGTGATGACTACGTGTCTTTTTTTACCACAATTTGTGTAGCTGTCAACACATTATAGTGTTAAATGTACACTGAGTTTATCTTTAGATTACTAGATTGACACGGTGCTGTGTTAAATGAATTTAAATTAAAACGAATGAATTTTGCCAGAATTAAAATAACCACTTAATATTTTTGACTAATTTTAGTGTTTAAATTAACACCAAATGATTTTACCACTTCATTTGGTAACTTTACACCGAAATATTTTATACTGTGTAGTGTGTAATAGCTTGAAAATCCGGTCTCTTATTATAGTCTAGTCTAGAAGTGAGTCTATAAGAGGGAAATTTCGTTAACTTACTCTCCGGCAGGGATGTCCTCCTCGGCGTCGGGCGGCTCCTTTCTAACGAGGGTGACGGTGGCTCCGGTGTGTCTGGGGTTGATGTCGACGGTGACGTTCCACGAAGTCGCGCCGGCTCCTCCGCCCGCCTCCAGCAGACGAACCCCGTTCTTAACACGCGCCCTGCAACGCAAACAAACAAACATACAGATAGGTTACATCAAATGATCGTTGTTACATTAAATTAATGGCCATGTTTTCTCAAGTGATTAATATATCGATGGTTATTTAACAAAACATCGTAAGCGACAAAACCTAAATTTTACAGGAGAGATTTTTTTCGTGTGGGAGCTTTATTTTTAAAGTTATTTATCTGAAAACTGGTGAGGCAATATTTTATTAATGTAGAATTCAAATATTTAAGTAAGATCAAATCCAATCTAAAATTTTCATTAAATTTTATGGCATACGATATTTTATAAGAACATCTTTAGGAAAATATAAAATTAGTCTTGTCGCTTAAGTTACATTTACGTTACTTTGTGGGATATAGATTTGATGATTACTTTTGTCAAAACATCGTTAGCGACATTTATTTTTTTACTTTTATTATTAAATAAAAAAATTACAAAAAAATTATAATTATAATTATAAATATCACCAACGATATTTTGCCAAACAATGTTTGAAAATGAAATTCTACATTAGCTTTCTTTGAAAAAAACAAACGATTTTTATTCACAAACCAGTGTCTAACCCATGAAGCCCACACAAGGAGCCCGAACTTATTAGGGGAAATTGCTCTCTAAATTGTACAAATTAAGTTTCTTTTTTTCACCACCAGCGGCGCTGATTGTCCATGCTAGCGTTTCGGTACAAATTAAACAATTGTTTCAGAATAAACGGAACACCAGCGCCCTCTTATCTTAGGAAGATTCTTGTTTACATGATGTTCGGACTCCTTGTGTAGGCTCCATGATCTAACCCATGGTACCATGATCTAACCATTATAAATTTGAGTCAAGTTATTTGACGCTATAACAACATACAATTACTACAAAAAACACGTTTAACGAACCACACTACGTAAAACCAATTATTATTAGGATAACTATTAATAGTGCAATGAAAAAAAGGAATTATAAGCTTTTGATCAAATAAAATATTGTTTTAAAACTTGGTAGCAATCACCACGATGCAGGTATACTCACGAATAAACTGTTTAGAGCGGGAATAAAGCCTTGATAGATCAAGGCTGGAGCACAATATTATCGTGAGCGACACAATGTTAAATCGCAAACGCCATGTCTCGGAGTTGCTTACGATTATTTGTCGGGAACATATAGGCGCTTACGTAATAAATCGGTAACAAATTAAAAAGAAGAGGCGCTTACAATAATAAAACTATTCAAACTGACCAATATTAGATTCCAAAATTGGGATAACTATTATGTTAACATGTGCAGCTTATCGTAACTGACACTTTGATAAAATAAAAAGTAATTCAACAAAATTGTCGCTTACGATGTTTTGTCAAATAACCATCGATATGCTATGTTTGGCAAACGATTTAAAAGTAGAAAATTTACGTTTTGTCTATCTGTCATTTTCTTCCCGCTATTTCTATTCTTCCTTGATGCAGTTTTAAGGTATTTTAGTCATAAAAACTATCTTTAAAATCACTTTTGAACACATTTTCACGCACAGTATTATTTAGACAAGTACGGTGCTTGTTGGGAGCTAAATATTGTTCATGCAGTTTTGATAGTTATCTAAAACGTGAATCCATTTGCTTTGCAGGTACCCACGCTGCCAAATAGTCAAAACTCCCTCTTCTAATTGGTGAAATTAAAATACTCGGAGACAATCTAATTCACAAGAAAGTGGTGCTGTTGAAAAATTGAAAGTTGTCCAGTTATAACTGGCCAACTATAGTTGAAGCACTTCTGACGTATTACAGGACTATTTAATAAGTAAATCATGAACACAAATAACCATAAAGATGAACCACAGATATACTTTAAATAAAATTTTTGAAGATATTATCCTTAAAAGACAAAATTACATACATAGATTTAAAAGTAAATTTTTCCATATAATAATTACAGCATGAAAAAAATTATATTCTATTTGAAATTAATTGGTTCAATTAAAATGATTATATAATACACTTTATACCAGTTTTATTTCATATTGGTAAAATATTTAATTTTTTTAATAAAGTAAATATTAGTATTTAATTTAATTTTATAAAGAATTTCTGTTTTATTTTAAAACCAAAAATTAATCAACATTTACAATTTGTAAGTTGTTTTAATAAATATCATTTATTGAACTTTTCTATACTTAACAATAATAATAATAATGTTTATTTCAGATATTTTTTTTGTATTTCTTGACAAATTTTGTTTGCAAAAACTTTGTTTTAGTACTCGATTTAGATCTATTATTCCTTATATCATTGATTAAGAAACTTAACGCTTATATGCTTATATAGTCACGTTAGTGTGTGTATTTTATCTAAGTGATCATGGTGAATTATTGGGTTTTTAATTGTAAATGTAATTCAAGAACTAAATCGTTGCATTTTCATGTTTTGCCAAAGAATCAAATTCGGTACGTATATTTTTTGATGCAGAAATAATTAATGACAACTTTACCTATTATAATTTATATTTAAGTTTAGACATTTTTAATAAATCTAACAAAAAATAATTGTTTTACAAACATAACATTAAAATCGAACATTTTTATATTTGAGTCTTCTAAAAAAACGCCGACAACTGAATTTTAAACGACAAAATATATCCACGAATTTATATTATAATACACAATAATTATAATATAAAACCAGTCCTTGCTATTACACCGTTGAGTGAAAACTTTTTTAATCAACGCTTTTAATTATGCATAATGTTTTTTTAACGTAAATTATTACCAAAATGTGTATTTATTTTATCTAATAGATACAATTTATATTTACAGAGACTGTATGCAATTTATTTCTTCATTCGGATTTCCACTGTATTGGGAAACTGGAAAAAACTCAACCCAGGATTTCCTCATGAAAAACACCGAACAAACAAATTGTGCCACGGTTTTTTTTCATATTTTTAACATTTTCCGCATTTACTACTATATTTAAATTAAATATAGTTAAAATATTTAAAATTATATAAATTAATTGAAAAAGGTCAGAATTTGTAAAATCAGTACAATAAAAATGTCATCATTGTTTTTGTCCAAATTTTGTCCAAAAAACTGTTCTATCTAACCATAAAAATTAATCGACCAAAACGTTTTTTTTTATTTCTTAGCAAAGTTATTGTCATATTTTAAATCTTTGATAACTTTCTAAACAAAATCTACTTATTTTTAAATCGATAAATTGATTTTAAACATTAAAAAAAACAATGATAGCCATTTAATATTTAACATTCAAATAGGTAAATATTAATTTTCTAATTAAAAAATATAGAAATATAAGTAAAGTTCAAAAAATGGCGAATGCCCCAGGATATTCCAAGTAATAAGTAATTAATAAAAAATAACTAAGAATTAACTATTTTTAACTAAACTGATAAACTTATTGACCCATTTTTAAAATAAGTAATTGCGTTCGTACGTCAGTTCCCTTTTTCATGCTTCGTTGGCCACAAGGGATATTTAACATTCAAATAGGAATATTTAACATTCAAATAGGTAAATATTCATTTTATAATTAAAAAATTTATAAATATAATTAAAGTTCAATAAATGGCGAATGCCCCGGGATATTCCAAGTAATAAATAATTAATAAAAAATAACTAAGAATTAACTATTTTTAACTAAACTGATAAACTTATTGACCCATTTTTAAAATAAGTAATTACGTTCGTACGTCAGTTCGCTTTTTCATGCTTCGTTGGCCACAAGAGATTATTGAATTACTTTTTACTTTCGTGACAATTATCGGACAGAAAACCGATGTAAGTTGGGTGGTTTACGGCTTATGTGGCTCATTTCAACTCTGATCCCCCGTAAATTGCTACGATAAACACCGAAAATAATTTTATTGCCAAAATGGGATTACTTTTACTCTCAACAAATATCAAATATTTGCTTCCAAGTTGCCCCAAGTAAACAATAAACAATTTTAACAAAATATTATTCTGTACTAAAAAATTAAAAATAAATATCAGGCATCATAAAAGTTTTTTTGGAAACAAATATAATTATAAATATGCAGTTTAAAATTAAATATTTATATACAGGGTGTCCCACAATTTACGGTTCTATACTTTAACAGCAGATTCTACGTACACAAATAAGAAGAAAAAAATCCTATAAACATAGGTCAAAAAATGCTTCCTAAGGGAGCTAGGGCCCCCCTGAAAATGGTTTTTATTTAATATCTCCAATACCGTATATTATTACAGCATGAAATTAATTGGTTCCATTTAAATGATTATAAACAAACTTTATACCAGTTTTATTTAATATTTGTAATTTTATAATAAAGTAAATATTGGTATTTGATTTGATTTTATAAATGTATTAAAGAATTTCTGTATTATTTTAAAATCAAAAATGAATCAACATTCACAATTTGTCAGAACAACTTTGTTTTAATAAATCATTTATCGATTTTGCGTTCATAATGACTTCATTATAACACCGCTTTCAGTGCTTTAATGAGATACTTAATCCCACCCAAAATTTTAATTTTATAGGTTGGCTATACTTAAAACAGCATAATATTTTTATGATTTTTCTAATTCTTACGATTAATTGTTGTACAAAAAACCTTAAAATCGACCATTTTTATATTTGAGTCTTCTAAAAAAAACGCCGACAACTGCATTTTAAACGACAAAATATATCTATGAATTTTAACATAATATTATACAGGGTGTTTTAGAATAAGATGCTGAACCTTAAGGGTGTGAATCCTTAGATGATTTCAAGAAAAAAAGTTTAAATAAACCTATGACCTAAACCTCGTAATTTTTGAGTTACAGGGTGTTTAAGTTTTTAAGAAAAAATCGTTTTTTTATCATAACTTTAATAACTTCTTAGATATTTTTATAAAATTTGGCACACGTCTTCTAAGCATTAACAGTAAGTTTTTGATGTAGAAGATTTTTAATTTTTTTTACCAGGATGTGGTCTAGATATTTTTGGAAAAATATTATGCACGCCA